AATTTAAAAACTGTCAAGTGTAATATAAATGCCAACTATTTTAGTAGTATTACTACTATATGTACTTTTAAAGCACAACAGTACAAATGGGAAAAATTATATACCTTTCTCCATTTTGATTTCTCACATTATACAGAAACATACCAGAAGGAAATGAGTTTCAAGACTGACATTAACAGAGAGACAGAATGTAGTACTATGAATTTGCTTATATTCTGCACAATGGACACTCCCCACATGTTAATAAAACAAGAAGACAGGATAATATAGCATTATTAATAATTTCTTCAGGATACAAGATTTGAACCAACGGTTTATTACAGTAACTATATTGTCAACAATCAGAAACTGATTTAAAGTTACTATTTTACTGCCCATGTTTCCCCTAACTCTTATCATACACTCTGTAGAATCATGTGTGGTATAAATACATAAAATTAAATAGATAAGCTCTCTTATGCCTGACAGTCTTAATGTACAGAGTGAGGATTCACAAATATCTCCAAGGAACACACTGGTGTTCCTTGACCATCTCCTCTGTATCTGACCCCGACACTAGGACAGGTAGTGAACTTTTTGTCTAGTTCTTCCTATCTAAGCAAAGTTAATTTACTTTTTCCATTAAGAAGGCAATCTATTTCCACTGATGACTAGAAAACCAAGAATTTGTTTTCACAGCTAACGCTTGCAGTTGATTATCAGGTCCTTCAGTATAAACCTTATTCATCTTTGTGTTCCCTAAATCTGGAAACAGTGTGTGTGTTAATCGCCATCATTCTCTTGGATCTATTTTGCCACTTTGTTATTCTCCTGGCCTTCAGACTGGCCTGCCCTCCACTGCGTTATCAGCATAAACTTTCTGAAATGCACATTCGATCATGTTATTCTCTGTATCTAATTCGATAATCCTCGGGAATTGGAGTGCATACTAAACTAGTATATCCTGAGAGATTCTGATGTGCCCTTCCTTTCTTCCATGAATGTGTTTATCAGTGATATTTTTACTCATTCTTTAAAACTCGGTTGGAGAGGGGTGCCTGGGTAGCTCAGTCGTTAAGCGTCTGCCTTAGGCTCAGGTCATGATCTCAGGGTCCTGGGATCGAGCCCCACATCTTATAGAAGTTAATCAGCTCAACTCCCAAATTCCCTGCTCCATGGGAAGCCTGCTTCTCCCTCTCCCTCTGCCCCTGCTTGTGTTCCTCTCTTGCTGTCTCTCTCTGTCAAAAAAATAAATAAAAAATCTTTAAAAAAAAACAAACCAAAAACTCAGTTGGAGAGTCCTCTCTTCTAAGAAGCAGTCCCTAACTCCCCCAAAGATTTACTTGTCTTTCCTCACTGCTCACACTGTACCTTGTACACACTTCTGCAATACATTGTATTACAGCACCTTACTTCTGTATCTCCCTCATTAGGCTGTAAAATTTTTGATAGTTTTCTTGATACTCCAAGATTTAACATTTTTATTAACAATTTGGAGATCAGATTTGGTATGAGAAGTACCATCTTTGACTTGATCAAGCTAGGTACACTATCCAAAAACAGTTTGGAAAACATATATTATTAAAACAATTGTTTTTAAAAATAAATTTAATATAATAAAATACCACTCATCAAAATAAAACCAGACAATGAATAGCCTCCCACTTACCCAAATATAGAGAATAGTGTTGTTTTACAAAGCTACACTGGTTGCATATAACCTCAGAGATCAGGGTTCCATGAGCATATATTGTATGATATTAAATCAGAAATTTTATCACATATTAAACAAAATCAATAAGGATTAACAATTTTTGTACCTATTATCTCCATGTTTTTCCTTTCTGATCCTAAAATTATCTAGTTTTTCCTTTTACAATTATTTTTTAAAAAATAACCCAACCTCACTGTGGTGCATATGTGTGTATGTAATAAAAATTGTTCAGAATCTTAAATGCATTTTTCTTTGACTTCCCACTGAAACCCTCCTTCATTAAAATGTTATGAATAGCACTTAAATCTTACTTCACTTAAAATGTACCATATATATATAGAGAGAGAGAGAGACACACACACACACACACACGCACAAAAGTACAAAAACCAGTAGAAAAACATTAAGCAGTAACTTCTTTTTAAATAATCTATGAAAAAGAAAGAGGGAAACACAGCATGTCCACCATGGAGCAAAAAATGAAGACAGCTGGTAGGGAAGAAGCAGTGAGCTACCTGAGTCTCCCAGGGGCAGGCCTGGCCCAGGAGGGCCTTTCTGCTGTTTGGAGTGACCGTGGCGTAAGGGGTATAAAGACTATTTAATAACAGCAAGAAACCTGTCTCATGCCAGACACACTTCTAAGTATTTCATATGAATTGACTAATTCAATCATCACGACTCTGTAAGACAGGTACTATCACTATCATCAGGCACAGAGTCCAAGGGGATTTTGTACCTACAAAGTAGTGAGTCTAGGGTTGGAAATCTGCAGGCCAAGTCCAGGGCCCTGGTTCTTGCCTGTGTTCTCCTGTCATCAGCTGCATCCGCGCATTTGCAACTATGATATGCATAATGCAGGGAATGCACGCACACGTACTTGAACACAGCCATGACGCTGCTTCTTGTGCCACAATTTTCAAATAAATGGGTGGTTCAGTTAGGTCAGTAAGATGAGCAAATAACAACCACAACAAAAAAATCCCCACAGGACTAGAATGGTACTTCCTCTCTGCATTAAGAGTTAACCCATGTAAAGAATCCCATACACAAAAAAGGAGGTAATATAACTAATGTTCTGTCATAGTGTAAGAGGTCAAGGATTATGTGTAGTTTGGGGTACATGTTTAATGCTACAGAACTGTTCCTGAAGATTTATGTTCACTGACTCGTTAAATAACTAACAATACAGGTAACAAGAACAAACTACCTTGCTTCTGCACTTTTGCAGTCTCTTTCACATCTCAAACGAGGAAAGAGGCTTTCTTATAGAAGTTAATCAGCTCTGGGCGCCTGGGTGGCTCAGTCGGTTTAGCGACTGCCTTCGGCTCAGGTCATGATCCTGGAGTCCCGGGATCGAGTCCCGCATCGGGCTCCCTGCTCAGCGGGG